CACACATCTCTGATACAGACGCTCACCACACATCTGATACAGACACTGACCACACATCTCTGATACAGACGCTCACCACACATCTGATACAGACACTGACCAGTGTGTTCTAGCACACTGAAATAACACAATGCTCAGTAGTGCTCTAACCATTGAGATACACAGTGTCATGTTCATTACGGCTCTAACACAATGAGATACACAGTGCTGTGTTCAGTACAGCTATGACACAATGAAGTACGCAGCACGGTGCTCAGTGCAGCCCTAATTTACTGAGTTACACAGTGCAGTGCTCATTAACACACTAAATAATTGGTCAGTGCGGTGTTCAGTACATCTCTACGTTTATAGTGTTCAGTATTGTGAACTCCATGTAAGTAGATCATGTTGACAGTTCATTACCATACTGAGTGCAGAGTGACAGGCTGTGATTCCTTCTGTCTGTCTCTCTGTCTCTTCTCTCCTTGTTTTTCCTCTGTGTGTCTAGTGAGGAATTCATCGTTGTCAACATGGAGCTCGTGTTTCATCAGAGTTCTGCTCCTGGTTCGGATGATTTAATCAAAACACTGGAGAAGGCGCTGCTGGACTTCACGATTCTGTTACCAATAGACCTGAACTCTATCACTGTCCCAGGTAAGGAAGTCTGCTCTCCATATACATGTAGCACTTCGAAGTCATCATTTATTCACAGAGCTGGTCTGGAATACAAGGACGGAGGTCACATGGTTCAACTGTGACCAATCAGGCTCTGTCTAAATAAGTAGAAAAGACATAAAGATCTATTTTGTGCTTTTAAGTAGCAATGTGATCATGTCTGATAAGCGTGTGCTGTATTCAGATGTTCCTGAATTGCCTATCAGGTTGTGGTTTATTGCTCTTGTGCGATGAGGCACAAGAGTGTCTTTTATCCTTGGCTGGGAGTACGAGTGATGCTGTTGTCTTAATTGTGTCACAGGTTGCTGATTCACTGAAATTCAAATTCAGTGGCAGATTAGAACAGAAGTACAGCTGGGTTAAACAAACCAACACACCAAGCATCACAACACGTACAGAAACCCTCCAGCAAACAGACACAACCCTGCATTACCCTGGCAAACTGCACTCAGAACACAACCCTGCCAAACACGTAATCATCCCCATAAAGTACTGCACTGCTTGGGCATTTTGCTCCTACCAAGATGGCAGAATTGTCAGCTACAAAATGGAGGCTCTCGGCAATCAGTAGAGCAGGGAGCAGCCGTGTGCCCTTCCCCAGTCTGTATAAGCAGACTGCCGAGCAGGTGAGGGAGGTTAGAGAGTGAATGGTAACTCCAGAAGTGACAGTGATTCTGACAGTGACAGTGACAAGTGTCAGGGACAAATGACAGTGACTGTAAGCAATCACCACACCACTACTGTTTGATGTTAGAGGACTGTCCTGTCCTCTGAACTTTGAACTCTGAACTTTGAGCTGTTGAAATGTTATGTGATGATCTTTACCGTGTGAACTGTTCAGCCCCTGCTCTCAGATTAGCACTACATGTACCACAAGGTGAATCACTCCTATAACTCGCATCCTTCTCTGATGTGGAAGGCAGCTGAGAAGTACAGTACGTGCAGATTCTCAGACAAGTGCAAATTCATGCTTTTATCTCTCTAAACTGATGCAGCAACCCCAACGCCCCCAGCAACACCAGCTCCAACAACTCCGCCATCGCATTGCCATGGCCACAGCAAGCCCTGGCCGCTGTGCACGGAGGGTCCCTCCGCCTCAGGCAGGGGGATTCTGGGAGAATCGCTGACGGAGTTCGCCCTGCACTTCTACAAGGAGGCCCGGCGAATCGAAGACAAGGGGAACATGCTGATATCGCCAGTGAGCGTCGCTGAGCTGCTGACACTCCTCCTGCTGGGTGAGAGGGCCTGCTGTGTTCCAGCGATATTATTAAGCACGGACACTGCGGTGTTCCCACGAGATCCGGCAAACAGGAAGTTGTAACACTTACTTCCTTTGCTACTACTTTTACCAAATCTTTACCAAGAAGTTTGTTTTCTTAATTCAAACGTTTGAGTAGACAAAACATTCTCTTAATCTTCCAGTCATGAAACTGGTGGGTTCAGTTTGGGATTAAGTGACACAATAAAGCTGTGTTGGACTGAGGCAGCAGGAGTGTGGGACCCCGGTCTGCAGGATTATACATTTTTTTGTCTCTGTGCCATTTTCAGTATGAAAGTAGCTCTTCTGTCTGTCCTGAGTCTCCCCTGTCTCTCCCTGTAAACCACCTTTCTAAACCCCTCTAATATCAGTAACGGCTAGTATCTAACGAGACAGTAAGAATGGATACAGCTGAGAGGAGGCCATGAGATAACCACCTATCTCATTTGAGATCAATTGAGAAGATCGATCCCAGGATCTCATCCCGCTGTGTCTTGAACCAAATCAGGGTGCCGGCTTCAACAGTGCGACTGGGCATCTTCTTCCACACCCTCACCACTTTTTTATGTAAAGCTGTGCCTCCTGTCCGGAGATCTAAAGGCACTGTTTCCAAACAGTGAGAAGCATCTGTCTCTCTCCACCTGCCAGGTGCCCGGGGGGACACTCAGACTACGCTGGAGAATGTGCTGTCTCTCCCCCAGAACTTCACCTGTGTCCACGAGGAGGTGCTGAGCCTGACCAAGCACCTGAGGGGCAGCGTGGAGATGGCCTCCCGGATCTACTATAAGCCTGGTACACAGGGCCTGATTCCCGTCGCTCTGTGTGAGAGGAACAGTGCCGGGCTCACTGACCACAGCTTGCTGGGGTCACAGATATCATCATATACAAAATGTTATAGCTCTGGTAGTGCTGCAGGTGCTACTAGTGCCATTATAGCAGCTCTGTTACAAGTCAGAGGAGAGCATTCTGGCTGTCCGGGCCAATGGGTTCACAGATATCATCACACCTCAGGCATCAGCTGAATGACCTGCTAGGTTCCCAGATATCATCACACCTCAGGCATCGGCTAAATGACCTGCTGGGTTTGCAGATATCATCACACCTCGGGCATCGGCTAAATGACCTGCAGGGTTTGCAGATATCACCACACCTCAGGCATCAGCTGAGTGACCTGTTGGGTTCATAGATATCATCACACCTCAGGCATCGGCTGCATGACCTGTTGGGTTCATAGATATCATCACACCTCAGGCATCGGCTGAATGACCTGTTGGGTTTATAGATATCACCACACCTCAGGCATCAGCTGAGTGACCTGCTGGGTTTGCAGATATCATCACACCTCGGGCATCGGCCAAATCACCTGGGTCTTCACCTAATGGCCTGTTGTTCTTTCTGCTTCTACCTCCAGGGCTGAAACTGACAGACTTCTTTGGTGACCAATCGCAGCAATTCTACGGGGCAAAGCCTCAGCAGTTGACCAATAACGGCACCACCAACCTGCAGATGATCAATGATTGGGTGGCCCAGAAAACCCACAATCAGATCAAGCATCTGGTTGACTCAGTCCCGCAGAACACCGAGTTCATGCTGCTGAATGCCATCTACTACATTGGTACTGTTCTCTACTGCTACATGAGGGGACTGTTTTTCTGAATGTATCCCCTCACTTTAAACCCTTTAGAAACCTCTGAGATGAGACATCTGCAGCTGATTCAAGTTAATCAGGGATGGAGTGGGTTTTGCTAACCTTGATGACTTAAATTAGGTGTTTTCTGGGCTTTCTGTAGATGGTATTCTTTGATGCCTGCCTGGGTGGTAATAAGGTTAATTAATGAATTGATCTATACATGTATATTATTCGAGAGGTTAAATCAAAACAGTGACAGAGTAGCATGCACAAGTGTCAACACATATGGAGATCTGACCTGCCTCCTGGTCCGGTGACCCCTTAGAATGACTTAGAATGACAAGCAGCCCTTCAGTCTCAGAATCCAGCACAAGCCCTGTGATCTCCCCTTGCAGTCCATTCATCTCACAGGCAGAGAAAGTCTGTCAGGGCAAAGAAACAGGAACATGGTGACGTGGCAGATACACTCCTCTGAACCCTCTTGGGGAGGTGCCGGGACTGCTACTCCTGCAGCTACACTACAGTGTGGTTCAGGATCTGCGGAACTTAGACGTCGACCTTGTCTACGAGTTTTGGGATCCAAGTGCAGAGCTTGGCTAGAGTCAAGCGTGTCTCTGGATCAGAATGGTGGGCTTGGCTAGATGCAGGCAGAGAGAGGGTCTCTTGGGATCAGAGTG